GAAGGGCTTAGTAGGACGTGGAGCAGTGTTTTGGATAGCTTTAGACGTAACTTTCTGATACGGGATTCAAGTCAAAGGAGGAGTCAAAGAACTGATAGACTTTCCTGTAATAATGGATTCAGTGTGTAACGATTCCAGTCTTGGCTACAGTTTACTGAAAACATGTATTTCTGCTTTAGAGTCTAGTTTAGCTGCTTTCTTTTAACCCTTCCTGAGTAGATGTCAGGTTTTCTGCTCTTCCTCCAGAAGGCTCTTCCATCTTGTCATTTAGCTTGTTGATGATTCACTGGTTTAGTTCAGTGCTTTGCCCATTTTAGTTTATTTTGCTTTTTTCATTTGCCTTTAGAGGTGCAGTAGTATTAAGGCTGTATTTTAGAAAATACTGCATTAAATAAGTTCTTCATTCAGCAGGACCTGAATAAATAGGTTGTATGATCACTTACTTTTTTAAAATTGCATTGTATTTTAACGGGGATATATATGCATTCAAAACCCGCTGCCGTCGAGTGGATTTCAACTCATAGCGACCCTATAGGACAGCGTAGAACTGCCCCATAGGGTTTCCAAGGAGCGGGTGGTGGATTCGAACTGCCCACCTTTTGGTTAGCAGCCTAGCTCTTACGACCAGTAAATGGATCAGTGGAACTGCTGCAGTAAAGAACAGGTTAACAGACTGTGTCTATTTCTTGTCTTTCTTTAATGACATGCTTGTTATGCAGCAGCTACTTCTCTATCATTCCATTAATTAGAACAGTAACTTTGTTTTTTTAACTGTATGTCAGTAACAAATTGCATTAGTAATGTAACATACGCTGTTCTCAGTTATAAAAATTAGTACTAAAACTATTAACTTAATAATTATGTAGAATGCAGTGTGTTCCAAAATCACAAGCCCATGCGATTACTTGTATTCAAATTCTGTTTTCATTTTTGAGTGAGGCACGTTGAGAAGTAGAATGATTTTCTAGAGAAATGACCCTTTCATATTTGAAGCCAAGTCTAATCATCTGTTGGCCTATATAGGTTGGGAAGAGTGCAGAGCGGGACTTTGGTTTTTATTTTATTCAAATAGTGTTACTTACTCCTTAATGAAAGTAGTCTCTGTCCTTATTTCAGATCTCCAGCTTGATTATGCATTAACAGATGAGTTCTGCAGAAACCACTTCTTGGTGGGTCTGTTGCTGAGGGAGGTGGGGACTGCTCTCCAGGAGTTCAGAGAAGTCCGTCTGATTGCCATCAGCGTGCTCAAGAACCTGCTCATAAAGCATTCTTTTGATGACAGATACGCTTCAAGGGTGAGTGGTCCCCAATGGAAGGAGTACGGATTAAGAAACATCACTTACTTTAGGTAAAATAAAGAAAGTCACCAATTGGAAAATTAGTGGTACAGCACTAAGACTTTCCCCATTTAAGCAATAAAATCAAATACTCACCTTCATAAGAAGGATCCAGATAAAGGGGATGGGCAGTAACAGCTCAGGCTGACATTAAATGCTCACAGTTATGGGAAAACTTACAACTCGTCTTTGTTTCAGAGCCATCAAGCAAGGATAGCCACTCTCTACCTACCTCTGTTTGGTCTGCTTATTGAAAACGTCCAGCGGATCAACGTGAGGGACGTGTCACCCTTCCCTGTGAACTCCGGCAGTGTACGTAAGCACATTCACATACACACACCGTCCCTTTTCATTTTTGCCAGTAAAACCGTAATAATCTGCAGTGCTCTTGATCAATTGCACTTCTGGCTCAGATGGGATCAGTCAGGAAGCCTTTTTGAACTCTTGTTGAAAAGTGCATGCTCCCTGATAGCTCTCAGCATCTTCGTTTGTGCGTTCAACAAAAATGTCTGGGGGTGTAGGGGGCACAGAGGCAGAGGGAGGTAAAAAAGAGCATAGCCTGAACCTGTCTGTTATGAAAGCTCAGTTCTCAGCCCAGTTCTGATGGTGACATTGCTAAGCAGTCTGGGACAAACCACCTCTTTGGGCCATAGTTTCTCTCCATCTGTAAAATTAGCAAGTCCAGCTAAATGTCAGGATATCAGGGTGCATGACATGAGGCCCTGCCCTCTGAGAACCGACCACCTTAACTGATGATGTCTTTGAGCAACCATTTAAAGATGCCATTGGAAATTAAGTTGCCTGAAGGATGACCTCAGGAATTATCTCAAAACTTTTTAGTTGGTGTCTTCGTCATCTAGCGCTGCTGTAACAGAAATACCACAAGTGAATGGCTTTAACAAAGATAAGTTTATTTCCTCACAGTAAAGTAGGCTAAAAGTCCAAATTCAGGGCTTCAGCTCCAGGGGAAGGCTTTCTCTCTCTGTCGGCCTTCTCATCAGTCTTCCCCGGACTAGGAGCTTCTCCGCGCAGGGACCCCAGCTCCACAGGATACGCTCTGCTTCTGGCACTGCTTCCTTGGTGGTAGGAGGTCCCCAGTTCTCTGCTTGCTTCCCTTTCCTTTTATCTCTTGTAAGAGAAAAGGTGGTGCAGGCCACGTTCCAGAGAAACTCCCTTTACATTGGATCAGGGATGTGACCTGGGTAAGGGTGTTAGAATCCCACCCTAATCCTCTTTAACATAAAATTACAATCACAAAATGGAGGACAACCACACAATACTAGGAATCATGGCCTAGCCAAATTGAGACACACATATTTAGGGGTACATAATTCAGTCCATGACAGTTGGAGATTGTTTTAAGTTTTACCCATCCCTTGATACATGTTGATTTATCTTGTGGTTTGAAAAGGATTCTTGCTATCATCTTACAGTTGAACTTTGTCAAAACATTATCACTGTCAATTACTTTGTCAGATTTGAATTGCATGAGACTTTTTAATTATTAAACTAAAATAATTTTTAATTATTGAAGTTCGTAGAATTTTTACAAAACTAAAACCCATATTCTTTATTTTTCTGAAAGCTTCTTCTCTTGGCCTTGGAAGGCTTGTCTGCCAGTAACTTGGACAGATGTTACCAGTTCAGCGATTTCCTTTCCCCTTTTGTTGTGGACTCATGAACTGGTTCAGTTGTCAACCTTGCCACTTTGTCATTGTGTTGTACGCTTGGGGCGTTTCCCCAACAGTTACACGATATCCCATTTTCTGCACTAGCTCTCCACCTCTGAATACACTTCCTAAGTAATGTCACACCGAGGTGAGCCACGTTTATAGATTGTTTTCTGCAGTTCCAAAGGACACAAACTTCCTCTATCCTAAAGTGAAGTACACCTCACTATTCCTACCTCGGGGTCCCTGGGTGGTGCAGGTGGTTAACACACTTGGCTGCTAACTGAAAGATTGGAAGTTCAAGTCCACCCACAGGCACCTTGGAAGAAAGGCCTGGCGATCTACTTCTGAAAAATCATCCATTGAAAACCCTATGCAGCAGCTCTACTCTGACACACATAGGGTCACAATGAGTTGGAATTGATGCGATGCTAACTGGTTAATCTCACCCTGTCCAGCACTGCGTTTCACAATTGTGTTCCCTAAACCTGTCTGCCTTTCCAACTGGGATCAGTAATTCAGGGCATAATGGGACCTCTGGACTGTTTCAGTTCTGAAAAAAATGAGCACAAGGCCTTTCCTTGGCTTTCACCAAAGTAAAATCACTACAAATTAGTCCAAAAGACTAATGGACCCCACAATTACCACAGCCTCTACCAGACTGAGTCCAGCACAACTAGATGGTGCCTGGCTACCACCACTGACTGATCTGACAGGGATCACAATGGAGGGTCCCAGACAGAGCTGGAGAAAAATGGAGAACAAAATTCTAACTCACACAAAAGACCAAACTTACTGGTCTGACAGAGACTGGAGAAACCCTGAGAATATGGCCTCCAGATACCCTTTTAACTCAGTACTGAAGTCACTCCTGAGGTTCACCCTTCAGCCCAAGATTAGACAGGCCCATAAAACAAAAGGAGACTAAATGGGCACACCAGCCCAGGGGCAAGGACGAGAAGGCAGGAGGGGACAGGAAAGCTGGTGATGGGGAACCCAAGGTTGAGGAGGGAGAGTGTTGACATGTTGATTGGTTGGTAACCAATGTCACAAGACAGTATGTGTATTAATTGTTTCATGAGAAACTAATTTGCTCTGTAAACCTTCATCTAAAGCACAATAAAATAAATAAGTAAATGAAATCACTACAAAGTAATATCCTTGTTTTAACATATCAACTTCAAAATTCACATAATTTCTCCACTGATTGGGAGCCCACATGAAGCTTCAGACTTGCAGAGATTTTTAATTGCTGTTGTGATACTTCACTGTTGCTCATTTGGGAGGATTCTGATGTGAGACAGCGTGCGTGTCCCCGTTAGAAAGAGAACGTGAGGCTTTTTGTGAAGGAAACAACATACGGAAATAACCTAAACCTAGAGTGCTGGAGAGGAAAAGATGCTAGAACTGCTGGGGAGAGAAAAGCAAGGGCTTCATGGGATGAGACCAAACATCCTGTGTCCTCAGCAGAGTCCCTGACAGAGCAGGAGAAGAGTAGGGGGCCAGAACCCAAATTCTAGTAAAAAGACGAGACTTAATGGTTTGATTGAGACTGGAGACCCTGGAAGACATGGCCTCCCGAATCTCTGATAGCCCAAGACTAAAACCATTCCCGAGGCCAACTCTTCAGACGAAGATTGGACTGGACTGTGGGACATAAAATGATCCTCGTGAAGAGAGCGCTTCTTAGCTCAAGTAGATACATGAGACTAAATGGGCAGCTCCTGTCTGGAGGTGAGATGAGAAGGCAGAGAGGCGCAGGAGCTGGCTGAATGGACACGGGAAATCAGGGGTGGAAAGGAGAAGTGTGCTGTCACAGTATAGGGAGAGCTACTAGGGTCACATAGCAATGTGTGTATAAATAATCGTATGAGAGACTAACTTGAATTGTAAACTTTCACTTATACCACAAGAATTAAAAAAAAACAAAAACGCTCTGTCCTCTTTCCTGCTCCGGCCTGTCTGCCATCTTCCCTCCACACACAGGGCCGTGCGGCGTCTTCTCCCATCCAGGCACACTTAGCATGTCAGGTTGTCCTGGCTTGTGCTCACACTTCCAACAACAGTTGATTAGTCTTTTTGAATCATCTTTGATTACTTCTTCTTTTTCCCCTTTGACAGACTGTGAAGGATGAGTCACTTAACTTGCCAGCTGCAAACCCATTAGTGACACCACAGAAGTCGGGCAACACGTTGGATAACAGCCTGCACAAAGACCTCTTTGGTGCTATCTCCGGCATCGGTAACGTCTCTTACCTACTTCTCACTGGGTTAACTCTAAAAGTTGCTTTAATCAAATATTTGCCTAATGTCCCAAACTTGTGAATTAGACTTTTGAAGCCCAAGTTTCTGCGTTGAATATTCTTTTCCTTTTTGGGATAGTTAAAAATGACTGATATTCCTCAATTTACTCTAAAATACCCCCCAAAAAACCAAACCCACTGCCGTCGAATCAATTCCAACTCATAATGAGCCTACAGGACAGAGTAGAAGTGCCCCATAGGGTTTCCAAGGCCGTAAATCTTTACGGAGGAACGCTGGTGGCACAGTACTTAAGAGCTATGGCTGCTGCTAACCAAGATCCCCCAGCCGCTCCTTGGAAACTCCGTGGGGTGGTTCCACTCTGTTCTGGGTCTCTATGAGTTGGAATCTACTCGACAGCAACAGAGGAATCCTTACGGAAGCAGACTGCCACATCTTTCTCCCACGGAGTGGCTGGTGGGTTTGAACTGCCGACCTTTTGGTTACCAGCTGAGCACTTAACTGCTGTGTCACCAGGGCTCCTCTAAAATAGAGATTCCAAAATCCTCATGAATACCAAACAGTACATTGTACTGTTTGCTTTTCATTTAACTCTTAGTTAATTTATCATTTAAACCTTCAAATTGGATTGTTTATGCTTTTAGAAAAGGAATGTCTTTGCAGGGAAGGTGGGAGTGGAGAGAGGATTTATTAGTGGTGTTAGTGATATAGATGAAATGTGAGAGAGAGATTCCTGAAGGAGAGAGCAGTTTTTTGCTAGATTCCAGTCCTAAAATCGGTTTTTTTAAATCTGCTTTCCTCTAGAACATTTTTTCTGTCTGAAATGATGTAAGAGCTTCCCGTGAGGGAAGAAAACAGATGGCATAAATAAAAACTGAAACAGAGTCGTTTTTCCATAAGAAAATGCCTGAGGAATGTCCTTATTAGTATTCTGAGTGACTGAGCCCCTGTGGCAGCTCGTTTGTAAGATAGGGTACAAAAAATATCTTCACAGAATTGTCATAGACGTTCCCGGGCCTCTTCTGCTTTCATTTCTCGTTCTCTTTTACCAGACTTTGAAGAAATGAAGCATCCTACTCTGCCTTAGAGAGGGAGCCCTGCTGGCAGAACAGTTAAGAGCTTGTCTGCTCTAGGGTTGCTATGAGTCAGAATCTACTCTATGGCGGCGGGTTTGGTTTTGGGGTTTTTTGCTAACCAAAAGGTTGGCAGTTCAAACACACCCATTGGTTCCATGGGAGAAACACCTGGCGACTTGTTCCCATAAAGATTACAGCCTAGGAAACCCTATGGGCAGTTCAGTGCTGTCACATGGGGTACCTATGAGTCAGAAATCGACTCACCAGTGCCTGACAACAACAGCAACGAGGCCTAGTGGTCAGACCACCCAGTAATGGGACCAATTCATGGGACAGATTAAGGGTGGTCCTTTTAATCAGTTCATTCACAGGACTATCTTTCACATTAAGTTTATGGCCTTATCTTTTGTGGTGGTGTTGTTAGCGTACCGTTTCATGTAGCCGATTAAATTGGTGAGAATACAAAATTGGAAACCCCACACTAACAACCAGATTTATCCTACAGCATCAACACTTAATCTCATGTGTCTTTATACTTCTCGTAGTCTTCCTTGCCTCATTTGGCTCTTGTAAAGACTGAAGGAGTTAATTCACGGAAAACTCTGGGAGCAGAGCGTGACACGTAGTAAACAGGTGAACGTTAGTTGCCATTGCGAGTGTCCATTCGCCTCTCTCCCGGGGGGGGCACCCTGCCCTCTTCACCCTGTTCTGCCCATGTGCCCACCCACCGTTTCAGAATAGGGAGCGGGCTCTCCTGCAGACGTTTTTGTATGCAGCAGTTTAGGCCCTGGCTTTAAAGTCAGACAGATGTGGCTTCGAATCCACACTCTACCATTCACTAATTGCTGTGGATGAGGTGTTTATTTTCCCCAGCTTCTGTGTCAACATCACTAAAATAGATATTGTCATTATAAGGGTAAGGAGGCATGGCAAACACTGTTTTTTTTATTGTTGTAAAAATATAGGTAACACAACATTTGCCATTTTTCACATATACAGTTTCATGAGGTCAGTTACATCAGTCATGTTGTGCAACCATCACCAATGTCCTTTCCAAATTTTTCATCCCCATAAACAAAAAACTAGTGCTTCTTAAACAGAAATTCCCCCATCCACCCTCCCTCTTGCCCTGGTAACCACTATTAAACTGACCTCTGTATGTATTAGCCTATTCTAGATACTTCGTATTAGTGAGATCATACAATATTTGTCCTTTTGTGAATGACTTACTTTACTCAGCGTAATGTTTTCAAGGTTCCTCCATGTTGCAGCATATATGAGAACTTCATTTCTCTTTGTGGCTGAGTAGTATTGCATTGTATGTATATGCCAATAATACTCAAACACTAATGACCAAAGGCCGGACAAGTTGTGGGATGACATCAAGGACATCATACATGAAGAAAGCAAGAGGTCATTAAAAAGACAGAAAGGAAAGAAAAGACCAAAATGGATGTCAGGAGAGACTCTGAAACTTGCTCTTGAACGTAGAGTGAAAGGAAGGAAGAAATGATGAAGTAAAAGAACTGAACAGAAGATTTCAAAGGGCGGCTCGAGAAGACAAAGTAAAGAATTATAATGACATCTGCAAAGACCTGGAGATAGAAAACCAAAAGGGAAGAACATGCTCGGCATTTCTCAAGCTGAAATAATTGAAGAACAAATTCAAGTCTCAAGTTGCAATAGTGAAGGGTTCTACAGGGAAAGTATTAAACGACACAGGAAGTATCAAAAGAAGTGGAATACACAGAGTCACTGTACCAAAAAGAATTAGTGGATGTTCAGCCATTTCAGGAGGTAGCATATGAACCAGAACCAATGGTATTGAAGGAAGAAGTCCAAGCTGCACCGAAGGCACTAGTGAAAAACAAGGCTTCAGGAATTGGCGGAATACCAACTGAGATGTTTCAACAAACGGATACAGTGTTGGAAGCACTCACTCGTCTATGCCAAGAAATCTGGAAGACAGCTACCTGGCCAACTGACCAGAAGAGATCAGTATTTGTGCACATTTCGAAGAAAGGTGACCCAACCGAATGCAGATACCATCGAACAATATAATTAATATCACACACAAGTAAAACTTTGCTGAAGATTGTTCAAAAGCAGTTAACAGCAGTACATCGACAGGGAACTGCCAGAAATTCAAGCCGGATTCAGAAGAGGACATGGAACGAGGGATATCATTGCTGATGTCAGATGGATCCTGACTGAAAGCAGAGAATACCATAAAGATGTTTATCTGTGTTTTATTGATTATGCAAAGGCATTTGACTGTGTGGATCATAACAAATTATGGATAACATTGCGAAGAATGGGAATTCCAGAACACGTACTCATGCTCATTAGGAACCTGTACTTAGACCAAGAGGCAGTCGTTCGAACAGAATGAGGAGATACTGCGTGGTTTAAAGTCAGGAAAGGTGTGCGTCACTGTTGCATCCTTTCACCATACCTATTCAGTCTGTATGCTGAGCAAGTAATTCGAGAAGCTGGACCATATGAAGAAGAATGGGGCATCAGGATTGGAGGAAGGCTCATTAACAACCTGCAATATGCAGATGACACAACCTTGCTTGCTGAAAGCCAAGAGGTCTTGAAGCACTTACTGATGAAGATCAAAGACTGCAGCCTTCAGTATGGATTACACCTCAACATAAAGAACACAAAAATCCTCACAACTGGACCAGTAAACAACATCATGATAAATGCAGAAAAGATTGAAGTTGTCAAGTATTTCATTTTACTTGGATCCACAATCAGTGCTCATGGAAGCAGCAGTGAAGAATCCAAACGACGCATTGCGCTGGGCAAATTGCCGCAGAAAACCTCTTTAAAGTGTTAAAAAAGCAAAGATGTCACTTTAAGGACTAAGGTGCACCTGACCCAAGCCATGGCGTTTTTAGTCACCTCATATGCATGTGAAAGCCGGACAATGAATAAGGAAGACGAAAGAAGAATTGATGCCTTTGAATTATGCATTGGTGAAGAATATTGGATATACCATAGACTGCCAGAAGAATGAACAAATCTATCTTGGAAGAAGCACAACCAGAATTCTCCTTGGAAGTGAGGATGGCAAGGCTTAATCTCACATACTTTGGACATGTTATCAGGAGGGACCAGTCCCTGGAGAAGGACATCATGTTTGTAAAGAAGAGGGTCAGTGAAAAAGAGGAAGGCCCTCAATGAGACAGATTGACACAGTGACTGCAACAATGGGCTCAGGCATAGCAACGATTGTGAGGGTGGTGCAGGACCGGGCAGTGTTTCTTTCGGCTGTACACAGGGTCACTATGAGTCACAACAGACTTGATGGCACCTAACAACAACAACGACAAGTGTTATTATTTGATGACCATTATACAAGCATAAGTCTCTGACATTACTGATGCTCTGTGATACACTCTAGGCAACCAATCAAACGAGCCCTAGAAAATCAAAAAGCTCCACCCTCTCTGGCCAGCCCCCTGCAGGAAGAGGTCACAGAGAAGCAGTCAGGACTTTGTGTAAATGATCAGACTAGAATGAGAGGATGTTTTCACTCATCTGACTCTTCAGCTCAGAATTCACCTTGTTAGGATTCGGGATTCCTTGGGAACTTAGAAGTAAGCCACCGGGTGTCTTTCACAGGATCTGAATGTGACAGATGACCTTCGGTTGCTCTGCTTTTGTGGTGCAGTTATGAGAAGTCCTTGAGACTAATTTAGTCCCTTTTTACCTGAATTTCAAGATTCAAATCCACCTTTCAAAAAAGTTTGCCACCATGGGCTTATTTATGCTTAGGTTTTATCTATATTTCCCGTCTTTAAAAATACAAATCCCTGTTGAACTGGTGTATGTTTTGCTCTATACAGTCTCAACAACAGCAAAATAAATAAAACTATAAAAGAAATGTAAATCTTTGTTCCCTTTTAGGATTGCCTTCCAGGGAAAGCCTTACGTTTGAACTGGGTTTTCTAGTTCTTATCTGGCATCTTTGGCAAAACTGCTTTTTGTCATCAAAGCGTTTCCTGTGCTCGTCCTCCTTCACCTCTGTTTAGAAGAAATGCCACTCCCACACACCTTGAGAAGTCCTCACTAGTGTTTGCGTTTGTTTCTCTTTATGTCTTTGAAACAGGATGCATGAGAATTTCTAAAACTGACTGATTCGTTGCCTGAATAAAAACTACTCTGAGATTAGATTAGTTTCAAAAGGCGAGCAGTGTTAGAGCACAGGTTCCTTTTTCCACTCTTCTCTGTGTTGTGTTGGACTCTCTAAGGCAGCGGGAGGGCAGCAATGGGAAGCTAACTAATGTTTTCATTTTACTTGTGCGCTGTCGAGTCAATTCCGACTCACGAGGACCCTGTCACAGATGACAGAGTACAGCTAGGGTTCCCTAGTCTGTAATCTTTGCAGGTGTGGATCGTGAGGGCTTTTCTCCCACGAAGCAGCTGGGTGGGTTTGAACCACTGATCTTACGGTGAGCAGCCGAGCACTTAACCATTGGGCCACCAGGGCTCCTCTTCAGTTTATTTACACGTTATTTAAGGTTTTTAAAAGTTATGCACTGGGCCAGATCCATTAAATACACGCACACACACACACACACACACACACAGAGTGACATAGTTCCCTTAAGCATGTTGGTTTTGATTTATTGCATTTCCATCTGTTTGCCTTAGATTAGGAGTCTAGTTCTGGAATCAACCCTAAAACCCTGAGAAGTTAGGATCTAATTTTACGTTACTGAGAACCCCTTTCTCCTAAAGTCTGAGTTACACGTGAAATGTGAATTATAGTCCTGTTACCAGGATTATAATTTGGTTATAATGCTGTTTCTTTTCTCCTAGGGTAGAAAAGGGCTCATTCACAGCTGTTTTTAATTAGTCTGGCACACACTGTCTGCCCTGCCGAGCGCAGGTGTGGTCGACAGTAAGGCCCAGTGGTTTGCATGTTCCCCGGGCTCTCCTTTTCTTGGTCTTACGTTTACTCCCATACACTGAGTCAGTTTCAGGGATGGTGGTAGATAAACAGGAGTGCTAGGTAGGGGGAGGGATTTACTACACTGGTGTGGCAAGTCTCCCTCTGAGGTTAAAGACTTCTTGACATTGCCTGAGAAATGATGAATTTATGTCGTTATCCATCACTGCAACAATAGAGTGACTTAAAAAAATGCTTTTGGTGTGACCCCAGAGCTAGCCATATAATTTGTTTTATAAATTAGAAGCCTGAAGTGCATGTCTGAGTCCATGGCAGCTGCTTTGCCTGCTGGAATCTGAAAAGGAGCAGCCTGTTGTGAGGTGCCAGGTAACTGTGTCCTCAGCTTGGGTAGGGAAGGCTGTGCTTGCAGCTTGCCGAGCCCAGGGTCAAAGTCTCCTCATGCAGCCTGCAGAACCAGCCAGGCCCTTCGGCTGCTGGCATGCCTCTTTTCCTCCCGCACAGGGTGTACAAGTCTGAAAAGTCATTGTCTATTATGTGATTTTCTTAAATCTTATTTAAGCAACCAGTCAATCTGTTAATCTTAAAAAATTCAATAGTACCGAGGTGGGGCTGTTTTCTGCCTTCAAATGCTATTTATTCATGGACGTCACAAATTTTACTTCCAAATTAGATTTCCTTTCTGCTCGTAACTGTTCATTGCTGAGGTCCCCAAACATCGTCCATTCGCAGCACCCTTAGTCATCGCAGTGACTTTTTCATGGCCCCCCAGGGCGAAAGAAACACCTGATAGTTCTGTTTATTAGGTCGGTAGGTCCGCCTAGGAGCCGTGGTGGCACCGTGGGTAAGAGCTACAGGCTGCTAACCAAATGTCGGCAGTTCGCATCCACCAGCTGCTCCTTGGAAACCCCATGGGGCAGTTCTACTCTGTCCTATAAGGTGGCTGAGTCGCAATTGACTCGAGGGCAACAGGTTTGGTTTTTTCTGAGGTGCAAATAACTTGATAGGTACTTATCCCAGTGGAAACCCTGATGGCGTACTGGTTAAGTGCTACAGCTGGTAACCAAAAGGTCGGCAGTTTGAATCTCCCAGGAGCTCCTTGGAAACTCTATGGGGCAGTTCTACTCTGTCCTATAGGGTTGCTATGAGTTGGAATCAACTCAGCGGCAATGGGTTTTTTTTTTTTTTTTTTAATATCTCAATGACTTAGTAGCCATTTCAAAGGAAAAAATGTACATAAATTTTTTTAAATCTTTTTATTTCAGTCTTAAATAATTAGTTATTTACACGTTTGATTCACGTGCCTGTTGGGCGCTGTACACCTTCTCAAAGTTTGGAGTCAGATTGGACACCACCACCTGTGCCACGTTGACTTTGTCCAGTGTGTGCTTTTTATCACAGCAGCCACCAAAGACCCAGCCTCACCAAAGCATGATGTCATCAGAAGGAGTGTAGCAAGACCTCCTGTTGGAACTGCAGTGTTGACAGATGTCAGCGTCTCTGTTTTCTGTGAATTGTAACATGTCCCACAGCACCCTCTGAGTCTGCAGGGCCACCTCCGCATAGTTTGAATGCTGTGGATTTACTGTACGGGTTAATTTTTCCATTTGATTGTCGTAGGTGGCTTCGCCTGTTTTATCTTCTAAGTCTTCATTCTAAACCAGTGTGTGCCCTTCTAGTCTCAGCCATCTAAGTTTTCTAATAAATGAATTAATAGTTATGTCTTAAAGTTGCAGAGTAAAGTTTATATTTATCTCTTTATGGCCTTATTCCTTAAAGGTGAGGTAATTGAAGGCAACTCTTGAGCCAAACTCCTAAAAGAAAAAAATAAGTGCCATATAAGCATTTCCCCTTAAAGTTCCGTGCTTATCTTTATGTTGTTCTGTCTTACCAAAATTTTGGTCTCGGCTTAATTCCCGTTTAGCCTCTCCATATACGACTTCAACTCCAAATATCAGTAGTGTGAGGAATGCAGATTCCAGAGGATCGCTCATAAGCACAGACTCGGGGAACAGCCTTCCAGAAAGGAATAGTGAGAAAAGCAATTCCCTGGATAAGGTAATTTATTTTCAAATAACTCAAGTGATTCTTTTAACTAATGGATTTAACTCAAAGTAAACATTTTCTGATGTTTGTTAAGTGTGACCTTTTCTAAAAGCAAGTAATTTAACCTGGAGTAGATGGTTAGAGCATTATCTAAAGATGGGGCCCGTTCCCTGGATTTCCCTGATCCCTGTTTCCAGGATTTCAGATCAGGGCAGAGTGCCTTGAGTGAATGGTTCTGGCTGGTTGGACAGGTAGGAAAATCAAAATGCCACTCACTCAGAATCATCATAGTCTTTATGCCAAAATTATCTAGGCAAACGGGTATTAAGTCAAAAGCCAACTCCAAAAAAGAGTGAGGGGTCATATAGGTGATTCAGGGATAAAGCTTGATTGGAAATTGCTCTGTTCACGCCGCGCCTCCCCCAGCACACCGCCTTCTTCTTGAAGTAACTAAGGCTCAGACTGTTCAGAACTTTGTGGAAAGGCTAAGACTTGGGTTGGGCTTAAACCTGGAACCCATGATAGACTGGTATCATCTTGGGCACTGACGAGGGGGAAGCGTCCTTCCTGCGGCCTCAGGTTTGTGACCTCCCCACCTGTTCCCGTGGCTGGCACGGACTTGGTGACTTGTGGACGCCGTTCTGTAGAGGCGCGAGCTTCCTGGTGGGGTGCGCCATGACGGGTCTAACTCTCCCCTTGATCCTCGCATGCCTTCGTGTGGCAGAGGGAGAAGCTGCTCAGAAGGCATTCTGCTTGTGTCATACGCAGCGCTGGAGAGGAGGAGGAGAGCTGCCAGTCAGCCAGGAAAAACCGGGTCACTGTGGATTTTTCCCTTCTCACGATTCCGCCTTTGCCAGAGGACACTTTGCATGCTGCACCTTCCGCCCCACCGCGAGAAGTACTGAGTTCTCCTCGCGGCTCAGTTACGAGCGAGGGCACGATCGTGGGTCTGCACCAGCTTTGCCACTAATTGCGCCTTCGTTTTTTCTTAAATGAAAGTAGTCGTGCTCATTCTCGAGCCTGTTTTCTAGATGTTTTTTCAGTTGCCCACCAACGCCTTGAATGAAGCATCTTTTTTTCGCTGATCTTTTAGCTTGCGGTTTGGCAAAACAAAAAGTTCCTGATTTCAGTTGGAAATACACCGTTGAGGGTTTTTAAATCTCGTGTGTTTTATCACGACACGAGATGCCTGTTCTGTTGTTTACAACGTGAACCCTTTAAACCTGTGAACCCGCTGCTTAGTGGCAAAACTGCTCTCCCCTCGGCCCTGAGCTTTCTGACGTTTGCAGTGTTGCACTAAGCTGATGATGGAGTGACCTCATCCGCTTAGGGTCTTTGGCAGTGCTGTGCTGAGGTGTCCCTATCTGTTCCTATCTGGCACCTGCCAGCTGTTTTGCCCCGAGAGTGCCCCATGGTGTCCACTGAATGGCGATGACTCACCTCCCGGCTATTGTGGTCGATACACAGCAGCATCATAGGCTTTTTATTTGCTCTTTCAGCCACTCATGGTTTCCTGAGGCTATGGTTCCTTCTGCCATATCTTCTGGATGGTCATTTCTGTGTGTGGCCCTGGCACACATACTTTTTTGCATGAGGGTTTATCTGGCATTTCAGAACTAAGCTGATAACCAAAACTGTGGTTCTCCAGTTTGAAAGGTTCATGCCTTCTGCCTCGTCCCTTAGGGAAGTAAGCAGAGAAGACACGCCAGAGCTTCTGGGGAACAGCATTTGTGTCTGTTACGGTGGAGGGTGTCTGTACTTTAACTGTTGATAAAGTGCTTATGCCTTCCAATTTATATGATTTGTCTCAATCCTGAGAATCTTTTTGTGAAACTGTCATGTTTTTTTTTTCTTGTACTCGAAGAGAAAAACCAGCTGTGTTTCCTTTTCAGCACCAGCAAAGCGGCGCTTTGGGGAACTCTGTGGTTCGGTGTGACAAGCTCGACCAGTCTGAGATCAAGAGCCTGCTGATGTGTTTCCTTTACATCTTAAAAAGCATGTCTGATGGTAGGTGGAAATGAAGATTTCGGTTTTACTTCCCTTGTTTCGGGATTTTTTTTTTTTTAATTGAAGGGATACAAGAATTTAAAATAATTTTCTCCCCTTTTTTTTGAAGTGCATGTTAATTTACTAAATGTGGTAGAAGTAAGAGGGGGCAGTGGTGGCTCTGTGGTGGAATTCTCACCTTCCATGCAAGAGACCCAGGTTCGATTCCCCGCCAGTACACCTCACGTGCAGCCACCACCTATCTGTCAGTGGAGGTTTGCATGTTGCTATGATGCTGAACAGGTTTCAGTGGAGCTTCCAGACGAAGACCTGGAGATCCACTTCTGGAAAATCAGCCAGTGAAAACCCTATGGGTCACAGTGGTCTGACCCCGTGGTGCATGGGGCCGCCATGAGTCAGGGGCTGACTTGACAGGCAGCTAACAGCTAACAACAACAGAAATAAAAGCCTTAATTTTTGGAGGAAAACATTTCTGTTAATTATTTTATTCTAGAAAATAAGTTCTAAAGTGTGTACGGGCCTATTTTTAAAATTTATATTACACTCGAACCTACCATGTAAGCTGAAGGAGACAAGCAGGTAATGCAAATAGCTTTTATATGTCCAAACAAACTCCAACTCCTGGCAACTCTTACATTAGAAAGTATATTGCTGGGGAACCTACAAGTTCCTCCTGTTTAGACTGGATGTGACATTCCTGGCTTACCCGGAAGGAAGACGTGTCATTTTAGATTTCCTAATAGAAATAACGTGTCACAGTAGATTGCTTCTGATTTAGGTTTGACAATTACATGTTTTTAATAGAAATAACTGCAACTATTGGCGCTTTGGAGCCCTGGTGGTGCAGTGGTTAAGAGCTTGGCTGCTAACCAAAAGGTCGGCAGTTGGAATCCACCGTCCCTCTTCGGATACCCCATGGGGCAGTCTCTGTGAGTCAGAATCAACTCGACAGCAATGGGTTATTGATGCTTTAGGGATCCCTGAGTGGCGCAAAACAGTTAAACGCTCAACTACTAGCCAAAAAGTCTGGCAGTTCAAACCCACCCAGAGGCACCTCGAAAGACAGGCCTGGTGTTATGCTTCCAAAAGGCCACAGACTTGAAAACCCTATGGAGCAGTTACACTCTGCACACATGGAGTTGCCATGAGTTACAATCGATTCAACAGCAATTAATAACAACAAAAAGAACAAACTGATCCTGTATCCATACCACATAACGCCTTTAAACATGTGACCGGACAGTCACAACACTGAGTGTGTACAGTACCCCGTCACATACAGTTGGTCATAGTACAATGTCAGAGTTCTTATCTTGGTGAAAATTTTGTCTCATTTTTCCTGCAGCAAATTGTAAGGTAGTCTGTGAGCTTCATTAAGGTCAGTGAATTAAGATGAACTCTTCTGTAAACAAAATGCTGTTTTTTGAGGACCTGAAGCCCTCTTTTGCTGCTTCTCTTTGGTGGCCATACACATGGGCATTCAAAATCCGGTGGGAAGTATTTCTACCTGCAAATAGTGTTTCTTTTATACTGTGTTTCCATTTCAGCAGCGTTAGCAGCCTGCCCTGTAACTCGGACCTTAGGAACGGCCTGCCTGGCTTCCAGTGCTTAAGTTAGTTGTCCTTCCCCTGGAATTATTTTATTGTTCTGTCAGTTTGCTGCTTTAAGATGCCTGTTTTTAAAAAAGAGCAATTAAACAAAATTTTTCTTGAACGATGACCAAATACAAAAGTATAGAGCACTTATTTTGATACTTTGAAGTATAAAGTTGAAAGTCTTCCCATTTAAGTCAAAAGTTCCACACTTTGCCTTAGGATAGTGAATGTTAGCCAGCATTATAACCGTGTTTTTCCTTTGTTTAACAAATATTTTGTTTTAAATACTGAATATGATCTATAACTAGGATGTAACTGCTTTTCAATGACAAATATACCAGAACTTTCATAGCCAAGGGAAAGTCGCCCTTTAGAGTCAGCCCCTTTGAAGACTGCACGTGTTGTAAAAATGCAGCCACCTTTTCAGAGCAGTTTCAGAATATCTTTTTTTTTAGTTTTTGCCTTTAAGTTATTGACACTTTTCTTTATAATTAGAATTTTTCATGTATGTCCCGTTCAAGAAATCATTACCTGCCCTCAAGGTCATGAAGATATTCTCCTATATTTTTTTTTCTAAAATCTCGATTATTTCACCTTTAAATCTAAAAATCTACGTATAATTGATTTGTATGTGTGGTATGGGTGGGGAGACATTGCTTCCAGAGATAGTTTACCAAACAAACAACCAAAATGATCAGTTTTATAACATTACAGCCACTCTCTCCTCCTGTTTATCCCACACTTGATGAGCGCCTCCTACAAGCCGGCACCTCACTCTCTGTGCCTCCTCCCTCCTTCACAGTGTCTGGGGCTGTGTCTCCCCGTCTCCTCAGCTACCAGCCTGAGAAAGGCAGTGTTAGTGCTGTTCGGCAAACTCGGTGGTCCCTGGGGCTGAGCTCTGTGTGGGATAGCCACGGGTGTCCT